CTTCCTCTGGACCTACACGCGCTGGAGGATCGCCCACACCAAGAAGGGGCCCACCCTGCACATCTGGAAACGGCCAAGAGCTAAAGAAATGCTGCACACCTGCCTGGCGAGGAACCCCGTCAGCCAGCACTCGAGAACCATCTCCATTCGGGACTACTGTGGTAACGCTCCGGCCCCTGTTCTTAGTGGGCCTGGGCCCGATCCTTTCAATATTGGTGCACAAGCCCAAACTCACTCCGCTCATGGTTGGAAAATCTTAGAGGGAGCACTGGTGACAAGTGCAGATAGTATGGTCTGCCTGTATGGAGTGTTGGGGTGCGAGCACTGGGAAGGAGTTTGGGTGGGGGTTTGGGGTGCAGGGTCTGGGAAGGAGTTTGGGTGGGGGTCTGGGGTGCAGGCTCTGGGAAGACTTTGGTGGCATGGGGTGCGAGCACTGGGAAGGAGTTTGCATGGAGGTTTGTGGTGCAGGGTCTGGGAAGGAGTTTGGGTGGGGGTCTGGGGTGCAGGCTCTGGGAAGACTTTGGTGGCATGGGGTGCGAGCACTGGGAAGGAGTTTGCATGGAGGTTTGTGGTGCAGGGTCTGGGAAGGAGTTTGTGGGGATGAGGGGTCAGGCTCTAGGTGGAAGTTTGGGAGTGGGGTATGGGGTTTGGGTTGCAGACTCTGGGAAGAAGTTTGGCTGGAGACTTGGGGTGCGGCTGGGCTCTAGGAAGAAGTTTGGTTGGGGATTTGGGGTGCAGACTCTGGGAAGAAGTTTGGCGGGGGTTTGGGGTGCAGACTCTGGGAAGAAGTTTGGTTGGGAGTTTGGGGTGCAGGATCTGGGAAGAAGTTTGGCTGGGGGTTTGGGGTGCAGGATCTGGAAAGGAGTTTGGACCTGGGGGATGTGGGGTCCGGCTCTAGGCATACGTTTGGGTGTAGGGTTCAGGCTCTGGGCCGGGGAGGGTTGGGGTACAGCAGGGCTGAGGGGCAGTGCTTACCTTGGGTAGCTTCAGGGAGTGATGTGCCATCCCTCTGTCTGCTCGCTGTGACCGTGACCGTTTGGTGTCACCCCGACATGCAGAGAAAATCCCGGTGCCAGATGTTGCCGTCAGCTTCCTGAATGGAACCTGCAACCTCCTGCTGACGCCACCTTCCTCTGGACCTACACGCGCTGGAGGATCGCCCACACCAAGAAGGGGCCCACCCTGCACATCTGGAAACGGCCAAGAGCTAAAGAAATGCTGCACACCTGCCTGGCGAGGAACCCCGTCAGCCAGCACTCGAGAACCATCTCCATTCGGGACTACTGTGGTAACGCTCCGGCCCCTGTTCTTAGTGGGCCTGGGCCCGATCCTTTCAATATTGGTGCACAAGCCCAAACTCACTCCGCTCATGGTTGGAAAATCTTAGAGGGAGCACTGGTGACAAGTGCAGATAGTATGGTCTGCCTGTATGGAGTGTTGGGGTGCGAGCACTGGGAAGGAGTTTGGGTGGGGGTTTGGGGTGCAGGGTCTGGGAAGGAGTTTGGGTGGGGGTCTGGGGTGCAGGCTCTGGGAAGACTTTGGTGGCATGGGGTGCGAGCACTGGGAAGGAGTTTGCATGGAGGTTTGTGGTGCAGGGTCTGGGAAGGAGTTTGTGGGGATGAGGGGTCAGGCTCTAGGTGGAAGTTTGGGAGTGGGGTATGGGGTTTGGGTTGCAGACTCTGGGAAGAAGTTTGGCTGGAGACTTGGGGTGCGGCTGGGCTCTAGGAAGAAGTTTGGTTGGGGATTTGGGGTGCAGACTCTGGGAAGAAGTTTGGCTGGAGACTTGGGGTGCGGCTGGGCTCTAGGAAGAAGTTTGGTTGTCCATGCCCCGCCGTGCCAGCCAGACCCCCACGTAGCTGCAGCTGTCCCAGCAAACACGTCCTTTTTGCCACCCAGGGCCCAGTGAGAGGCAAGGGCCCCCTTCCCACTGTAGGGGCAGTACCCCTCCCCCAGCAGGCAGCTCATGGCCTCAGCCTCCCCCCAGACCTGGAAGCATGGGTGTAGGAAAGGGAAAAGGGCAGGTGGTCCCAATCTTCCCCAGCCAGAACAAGGGAGGGGAGGGCAGACGGTGCCCAGCCCCAGTCCCCAGAGAGCTCTGGCCAGACTAGTTCTACCAGCAGCGCTTCTCTGGTGAAGACTAGGGATGTAAAAGTGCAGTCAATTAACTGATTAGCAAAAGCTTGTAGATTAATGCTATAGACTGCACACATTCCCCTCCGCCCCCCGGCCACTTTCCAGTATATTATTTAGCAGGCTGGCCAGCAGCCCAGCTCAGGTCTGGCTTGCACCGGGTCTGGGAGCTCAGACCACCCTCTAAACAGGGGCTGCTGCCATCCCTCACCACTGCCTCTACCAGAGGCAGCAGCACAGGGAGCTGGGTTCTAGACTGGTTCCCCTCACAGGCCAGCTCCCGTCTGGCACCCGGTGCTGCTGTCTCTGATACACAGGCAGCAGCGCGGAGTGTCAGGGGGCTCCTCGGGAGTGGGGCTGTAGCACACTGGCTGCTGGCCCCGCCCCCAGGGACTATAGACTAGTCGAGTAACCAATAAGAATTCAGGAGGTTATTCGACTATTCAGTTGACCGACAGTTAACATCCCTCGTGTAGACCAGCCAGAGGGGAGCGATGGTGATTTGCTTCTCCGTGGCTCTGCCTCTTGCCCAGTCACTTTCCCCACCATCCCCTTCTCATTCGCGCTGGGGTGAGCGAGTGGTTTGGGGCAGCGGCTGTCGTCGTGGGCTGGGTTTGTGCAGCGCCTGGCACTTGCACCCGGGGCCAGGCCCCTGGTACACAGCAAAGAACAAGCAGCATCCTGTGCAGTCGGGAACGGGGGAGCCAGTCGCCGCTTTCGTCGGCACAAAACAACCCCACAGGCCAAGGGAGGCTCGCTGCAGAGTCAGTTCTTCACTGCGCGCGTGTCTGTTTCAACAGGAAGCGGCTCACCAGCACCTGTCTTCCAAGCGCCGGTGGCAACGCGCTTTTTAATAGTCTTCGGGCTCCTCTGCACGACCAACATTGTGAAGTAAGGGCCGTGCGGCCGCCAAGTGCAGACCGGCATCGGGGAATGCACCCCAAGGGGACCCTTGCTGTAAGTTCCCCGTCGGCCGACGTGCCATCCCACGGCTGGACGGGAAAAGCCTCCACTGCCGAGCTGATTTCGGGGGTGTTTGTAAAGCCACGGTCACTGACAAGCAGCCAGAGAAGATGTGGAGGCGGAAGGTGATTTTCTCTAACATCTCCTTCTTAGGGACTTGCGAGATCCAGCCCCAACTGTTTGCCCATCACTTGACTCTTGACTCCTTTAGCAATAAAAGGTGCTTTGCAGCCAGGCCTTCAGTTTCTGATCTGGTCTGGAGGGCGTGGGGCTTGTTTTTCAGGTATTCGCTGTGGGGACAACTGGTTAATGGCCCTCCGCACACTCTGGCGTGTTGTGGCTGGGGCCGGCCTGCCTGCAGCACTGTGGGTGGGAGGCTGCTCCAGACCAGCCAGGCCCACCACACTGCGGGCCAGGGCTGGCAGCTCAGCCCGCGTTTAATTGTGTTAACCAATAGAATTTTTATCCGGTACATGGTTAATATTTTCCCATCCCTAATTTATAGTTGGAGTGGAGTAAAGGAGCCTCAATGCAAATGAGAATCGGCCGGCCTGCCTGCAGCACTGTGGGTGGGAGGCTGCTCCAGACCAGCCAGGCCCACCACACTGCGGGCCAGGGCTGGCAGCTCAGCCCGCGTTTAATTGTGTTAACCAATAGAATTTTTATCCGGTACATGGTTAATATTTTCCCATCCCTAATTTATAGTTGGAGTGGAGTAAAGGAGCCTCAATGCAAATGAGAATCTATTTGAAAATCAGCAGGCCTGATTCTCCCCCCAGTTATGGGCCTGATTCACCATTGCACCGTGCCAAAAGTTGGTGACTGCTGCGGTGTAAATTGCATCAACCTGGGTTTAACTGCTGCCTTCCTGCCAGTTTAACCTCTAGCTTCCACTTCCAGTTTTTTCTGCATTGGAGTTATCAGTTCATTTATCTGGGAGGGGTCAGTTATATGAGGGCAATGGTGTTGTCAGTCCCACCCATTCAGAAATCCTGCTTTGAAAAGATGAGGAGTTGGGTTTTTAAAATACGCCGAGTTTGGATTTTTATTTTGCCTCAAGTGTGGGTTTTTTTCCCAGCTTTAGGGCTCTTGCTTCCTCTGTGACCCTGGGGAGCAAGAGTCTTTTTTTTTTAATGAAGGGCTTGATTCTCATGAAGCTACTTTCACCTGGGAGCTGGGCTTGCGGAACAACAGGACAAAGCTGGGAGAGCTGGTAGCATGGGGGCCACTTCTCTGATCCCCAAAGTGCTAAGGAGGGACAGCGGAAGCAGGATCTGCTTACGTGGAGAAGAAGGGGAAGCTCCTACATGTCTCTTGGAACAGCCGCAGGAAACCCTTCCCTGACCACCTCAGAATCTCAGGCTGGGCTGTAGGGCAGAAGGGGCCACAGATTGTTTAGTGTAAACGTAACCCACAGACCTGCTGGGGGAGGGGCACTGTCCCATCTAGTGGTGCTGGGACCACTCACAGACAGAGAACGAGTTTGCTCTACAGCCGGAGCTGGGAGCCAGCTGACCTTTAGTCCAAGCTGCAAAGGCTCATGCCCTGAGCTCCAGAGATCTCAGGTCTGTTTCTGCCTGTCGGGGCTACATAAGGCGTTATCACACCCTGGACCGGGTTACAGGTTGTTTTAAGAAGCTGTAAGTCCAATGTCTAGCGACAGTGTGAATTTCCGTTCCCAGGGACCAATATGGCTACAGCAGCCTGCCCACAGCAATCTGTGCCAGTGCCGAGCTGTATTAACATGCACCAAGCTGCGAACTGGCCAAATCGGACCAATCCCATACATCTAAGGATGAGTGAGCCCTGGCATCCCCTGTGAGCTCTGAACTTGTGCAGCTGCTCAGGAGAGGTTCCACAGCTGGCCAGGTGATTAGCAGAGCACCCAATGCTAGGTTTTTAGTTTCTAGTGGTGGTGCACATTCACACATGCCTTGGTGCATATAAAATTATTCCACACATGGATGGAAAAGATTAGTAGGAACATTGGTGAGCACACGTAATTACATACACAGAGGCGCTAACTCACTCACGCAATCACTCACTCTCTGTAGAAGACAAGTACCACCATTTACAATACAGGGTTTACTGAAGGTCAGCCTGACTGCGGTGGCCATGTCATTCATGCGGCATGAGGGTTTCCTGGATGAAGTATCACAGAGTTTTCTTTAGGGCGGTTCCTCTCCCTGCTAACCCACTGCTGAAACTCCTCTGCGGCCCTGCTGGGCCAGCAGGGGTCAGCAGTGCCTAGCAAATGCAGCATGCCATTACGTGACAGAGGAGTTTCGTGTTGTTTCCCTCTGGGTTTGATGGGTGGCTGGGGAATCTATTTAAACAGCTTTCTGGGGCAGTGACTGGATTCCCCAGAGCGTGGGCTGGCTACAGAGCACACAGTGCTGGGAACTCCGGCCTTTCCACTCGCTCGGTTTGCTCTTTGGCCAGTCTGACATCCCCACCCAAACAGAAAGCTATGCAGCCCACAGGGAATGGTGCTTCTGGTACCCTCACTGCTTCAGAGGAAGGTGCAGCATTCCCCCTACTGGACAGCTATGGAATAGCTTCCCCAGCAAGTGTTTTTTCCCAATTTCTATCGTTACTGGGGAGTTGATGCCCTAAAGCAGGGGTCTCCAAACTTTTCAGCCCGAAGGCCGCATTAACTATCAAACAGCAGTTCGGGGGCCGACTACACACTTGAGGTCCAAATAAAAAACAATCAAAACATGGATGTTGTTTTTAATTATTTATTTAATATTATTTTATTCAGTTATTATTTAATAACACATTGATACACTACACATGAACACCTGTATTAGTGTGAATGGTGAAATTGTTTCCTGGATGCCAAAATAGCAGACATTTCTGGCTTTAGATTTGTTGTCCCTAACATCAACAGTGACCCGAGATTATCATCGGACAAGTTTGTTCTCAAATTGTTCTTCACGTATTTCATTCTTGAAAATGTCTCCATGGGCCGGATGAGAGGGCCTTGCAGGCCGCATTCGGCCCGCGGGCCGTAGTTTGGAGACCCCTGCCCTAAAGCATGAGGGTTTATATCCTTTCAAAAAGATAATCTAGTCTAATGTAACTGTGGGTATTTTCTTCATCCATAAACATGTCTAATCCTTTTTTCAATACTGTTACACATTTTGTCTTGATATCTTTTAGCAAGGAGTTCCGCAGGTGAACCATGCAATGTGTTGAAAAGCATTTCCCTTTATCAGCTTTAAGTGAGTTGCCTTTCAGTTTAATGGAACATCCCTTATCCTGGTAGTGTGAGAGAAAGCGACTGTGTCCATTCTCCCTTCTCTGCACCATTCCTTATTCTCTACATGTCTATCCATCTTTTTTAAACTAGAAAGTCTCAAAAGGGTGGAACTCTGAGCTTGTATCAATCACTTCAGTGAGATTTTTCAATCTCCTTCCCTAAGGAACTTTTTGTAAGCATTTTTGAAATCCCTCTGTGTCTCCTAGACACAGTCCAAGATGGAGCAATCAGACTTTAACACAGCGTGCCAGAGACCAGTGGTTTATATAATGGTGTTTGCGTGTGTGAGTGAAATGCAATAGTTTTAGTAGGACTAGTTGAAATGTTTTAGATTAAATGTTTTTAATAAAAAATTGGGGCATTAAAATAAATTTAGTTTTGACAACAAAAATTAATTTTTATGCCATTTTTATTTTTCAGGAAAAAATTCACCGTGAAACATGTCCGAAAAACATTTTCACATTTTTATTATTGTTGACATTTTAAAAATGCTTTGTGTTTTGAAATGCTGGTAAACTCCCACGTTCTATTTTTCCTGATCAAATGGGAAGTGGGAGTAGATAAAAATGTCAGATCTTTTCTCTTAGGGTATGTCTACACTAGCTTGTTAATTCGAGCTAGGTAGGGAAATGAGGGCAACCGGAGTTGCAAATGAAGCCCGGGATTTAAATATCCCTGGCTTTAATCGCATGTTCCCGTCCGGCCGCCACTTTAAAATCCCCCTTAGTTCAAATGAACTGCCCGCGGCTACACACAGCAGTTTAAAGTTAATCCAAACTAAATCCTTAGTTCAGATTAACTGTTACACCTCATTCCATGAGTTGCTTCATTTGCAACTCTGGTTGCCTGATTTGCCTACCTAGCTCGAATTAACATACCCTTATTTACATTTCCAATAGAATATTTTTTATTGAGAACTATTAAAAGTTGCTAAAAGGGGAGATAGTGGAACACTTCACTCACCATTTTACTTTTTTCACACTTTTTCAGTGGGAGGAAAAAATAAAAGGCGTTTCCTCCCACTTTCACCGTTTTCCCTTCCTAGTGCTATTTCTCCACTGGAAAAAAGGTGGGAGGAACCAAATAAAGGAGAGAGAAAGAAATGGGGAAAACATCAGCTAAAACCAAATTTGTGAATGAAACTTTTCATACAAAATGTTTGCGTGAACCAAATGTTTGTTTTCTTAAGGAATTGTTCACATAAAACAAACACCCTCCTCTCAGTCAGGTGTAATTCTCAGTGTTGTTTTCCATCCCGTTGTTCTGTTTGCCTGTGGGACCTTGGCTCTTCACTGAGCAGCCGTCTTCACTGAATTGCTCACAGCGACAGCCAGGTCTGACTCCTGAGAGCTTCAGTTTAGCACATTCCGTTATGAGCTTTTTGGGGCCAGCCCTGTGGCGCTAGCTGGCCCTTCAGTTTTACCCTGGGTAGGCTCACCTGTGAGGAGGGAGTGGAAGTCCTGACGGTATCCCAAAGGCCTGTGCCCACAAACGGAGATGGGGAAAGTTGCCAAAAAGAGAGAGACCAAATGAGTTGAAAGAAAAGAGGCCTCCTGACATAACACAAGGACCAGTGGGACTGGCAGCCTCACCAGGCCCCTGGGCAAGCCAGGGCTGGAGGGGGGCTGCTCTGCACCCCCAGAGCTGGGGCTAGGCAGCCCTTAGCACCAGTGGGGAAGTGCCATGCCGACCTCTCCCCCCCAAAAGCCTTCGATGCTGCCCAGAGTGAGCTCCTCAGTGCTATGCAGCTATTGAAAGGGCCAGGGCTCCTGCCATCTCCACAGTAACACCTGCAGCAGCCTGGCGCTCCAGGCCCTTTTGTGTTGCTGGGCCCCGGGGCAGGTGTCCCCTGTTCCCCCCCCCCGACATCCGTCCTCCCGTCAGCAGGCCTGACACGACTGGGTTAAGGTCATGCCTGGTAGACAAATGATGGGACAGGAAATTGGGTTACGGTCATGCCTGGTAGACAAATGATGGGACAGGAAATTAATGAGCAAAAATTGGTGGGTTGGAAATGAGGTCTCACTGGTGGGCAAAATAATGAGGGGGCGGGGCATTCTATGCATCACTCCCTTTAGGGGCCCTTGAAGAGACATCAGGAGCAAAACCGACTCCAGGAGCGAGCTCCACTAACATGGCTGCCATCTCCACGCGCTCCAGGCTGCCACTGGGGTGATCCTGAGGTCTGTTCTGAGCAGAATCCAGGCCAGTAGCTCTGGCTGAATCCTGGGCTCATCTGGGATGTGGGACTGTCCCCCCCGCACTCCTACAATGACTCCTGTTACTTCCTCACATCACTTCCTCTAGTCCTCTCCCTCCTCCTGACCAATGCGTCAGCCAAGCCAGCGTATTTTACAGCACTGCTGTCAGCCTGTGACCACAAAGGTGCAGCTCTCTGCAACGCTGCAAACAGGCCCGTGCGGGTTCTCGAGGTTGCCAGGTGTCAGCCCAGCTGTGAGGTCCCCCGTGAGCCTCAGCCCCTAAGAGAGCAGCTGAATTTTCTCTCTAGGCTGATGGTTTCGCTCCTCCCTTTGGCCTTCTAGGGATCGGCTTTTAACACCCCCAGCAACCACAGCTCCAGTTCACTTCCGCTCGCTTCCCCTTCCCCCCAAAGGACAGCGAGGAGCATGCTTGATACCACCTCAGACACTTGCAAGGCAGGTTTCCTTCTAAAAATGCAACAGAGAAAGGGACGGAGAAATGTTGCTAAAATAAAACCAGTGCTTAGACATTTTCCATTTCAAACACTCTCCCCCTCCCCATCTTTAATAAAGAGCTAAATGGGGTTAATGGACTTGCTGTCCTTCTAGGCAGGCTGAGGTCTTTCTAGGCAGGCTGAGGCCACCCCCGAACCTTGGTTAATGTTGGATCATTTCAGGATCACGTTGCCATTGTTCCACCTTCAGGCCATGTTTGTGTGTGTGGCTATGTTCTGTCTGTCTGTCTACCTATCCATCCCTACCCCCCCCCCATCTATCTACCTATCTATATAGCAGCGCGCCCCCCCCTCTGTCTGTCTGTCTACCTATCCATCCCTACCCCCCCCCCATCTATCTACCTATCTATATAGCAGCGCGCCCCCCCCTCTGTCTGTCTGTCTACCTATCCATCCCTACCCCCCCCCCATCTATCTACCTATCTATATAGCAGCGCGCCCCCCCCTCTGTCTGTCTGTCTACCTATCCATCCCTACCCCCCCCCCATCTATCTACCTATCTATATAGCAGCGCGCCCCCCCCTCTGTCTGTCTGTCTACCTATCCATCCCTACCCCCCCCCCATCTATCTACCTATCTATATAGCAGCGCGCACACCCCTCTGTCTGTCTGTCTGTCTGTCAGTTGTGTCTGGAGCACAGGAAGTGCCGGGAATGGGACTGCTGTCCATAACACCGCAAGGGAGGGCGGAGAACGGGGGAAGGAAAAAAGGGAGGGATACAAAGACGTGATACTGAGAGTGGCCACTGGGGGAAGCTGCAGCACCAAGAGAATGGCCAGAGTGGTGGGGTCTGCCCTCTGACCTCCCCTCCGGGAGAGCCTGCAGGATTTGGGGGGGAAATGCTGGAGGAGGGGGCAGCTGCCAGA